TTAAAATCTATGATAATAATTTATATTCGCGTAAATCTATAACGTTAATTAATATTCAATTGAATACACACACACACACGTGTGCATAATTTTCCTTATTAATATGATTAATAATTGAAAAAAAAGTACACGTGCATATACATACGCGATCAAAAACGTAATAATAATAATAATAATAATGACATAAGAGAGAATACAGTAATAAAATATATAATTTGTTTAAACGAAATAGAATTCGATTACGTTAGAATATAACGTGAAAAATGATTGAAGATCCATCAGAAATGTTAGACGAATTACTGAAATTGATGTGAACCATGGAACCCCGACTCTATACACACACACATATATATATATATACAGATTCAAATGTATACATAGAAAATGAAACGCACGCATATCAATAGGTTATATATATTCATGAATAAATTCTATAGAAAAATTGTTCGTAATCGAGGACGCGTTCGATCGAGGAGGTGTCAACATCTTCGAAACCTTGGTGAAACAATTTTTGGTCCTTTCGAGAAATTCACAAACGCGTGGGTATTTTCCCTCCTGCATCTTATTCCCTTCCCTTCCCTTCCCTTTCCTTCCCACCTTCGAGACTCCTACGCGAACATATTCCATGTGTGTGTGTTGTTCCAATTCTATTCGGAAAATAAGATCCCTTCGAATTCGAATATATACGAGTGAAACATTCGGTTAGTCGTAAATTGCACGAAAGACAACCCAAAAAAAAAAAAGAAAAAATGAAAGAAATCTTATATTGCGCGTTAAATTTATTTCCCCTTTATTTTTTTTTTTGTTTACCCCTCGATAAACAAAAGGTTGATTACTCGTAACGTTATTTTTTCTATCTATAAAATATTTCTCTTTACGTTTATATATATATATACTTTTACAATTTCGAATTAATTTTCAATCGTGTAACGAGACGTTATTACAATTCGTCGACAATTATATTTCAATCAATATAAATATATTGATAGATAAAAAAAAAGAAAGAAAAAAAAGAAAAACTTGTTACGAGTTTCTATCGATAGGTAACACGTTTTACACGCATTACACACGTGTTAAATGTGTGCCTTGGTAGCCAGCCCACTTTCAGTAGCTTAGAAAAAAATAAATCCTTTTTACCGATAAAGGTGCACGCAACGTAATTATCGACCAAGTATAAGGTGATGCTTATCGTTCAGGCGTATACAATGCATACTTACGAATATATAATAGATTATTATTATTATTATTATTATTAATGATAAAATTTAACAGGGAACTTGGACATGAAAGAAGTAGAACTTAGTTTGATTTAGTTGGACGTTTCGTCCCTTTATTGGGACTTCTTCAGCAACTTAATCTTTACAGTTTTGTTGAAGAACTTAAATAATAACAATCAATTTAACGAAGTTTAGATGTTTTGTGTTTTGAATATTAATAAAAAGAAAAATGTATGTCTACTCAATGAAAAAAGACGCTGAACTGTAAAGATTAAGTTGCTGAAGAAGTCCCAATAAAGGGACGAAACGTCCAACTAAATCAAACTAAGTTCTACTTCTTTCATGTCCAAGTTCCCTGTTAAATTTTATCATTAAAAAATTGTAATTTTTGGACGAGAGAAATACTAAATAAATTATTATTATTGTTTTAGAAAATTATTTTCAATTATCATTTCTAATTAAACTATCGATTGGATTTTCTTTTTCTTTTTACGTTATACCATTTAATAAATATTAATAAACAAATAAATTTGTTACGTACAAATGTAAAAAGTAATACTTGAAATATTATTTTTATTTGAAATTAATCTGATATTAATTATATTAACGAGAGAGACGATAATCGGCAAAATCGTAACGACGATTTAGTTACGCAATAATTAATCAACGTAATATCATTTTCCTGACTTAATTAAAGATCTATTTTAGTAAATCTCTTCTCTCTCTCACTCCCAAATACAAAACGCGTTACCTAATGGTATCATACGTATAATTTGTTACTATCTATGAATTATTATTTACACATAATAACACGATCGTGTCCTGCATACGAATGGTTACGACTGTTATTGCGTATGACAGTTGACGCCACTGCGAATGACATATTTCCAGATGTGGGTACTATTATATTACTATACTACTACTATTACTACTACTATTGGACCCAACTCAAATTCAAACTATACATTTTTATTTATTATTCAATGCTTTCAAGGTTATTCAACTCTTTTCTTTCTTTCTTTTTTTTTTTGTGGGTTTCGTTTTTTATTACCGTATAGTATAAATTTGTATCACCGATTCGAATGCTTGAAATAAAAATAATACGCGAATAAAAATAGAGACAAATAAAATCAAATATTTTGATATAAATTTTATTGGTGAATTATTTTTCAAACGATACAAACGAATATAAGTATTCGTAAAATAAAATTGTTTATATAAATGAATATATATATTGATTCATTTGAAAGATTGAATTTTCAGATGAGAAACGTTTAGCAAACGTGTATTTATTTTACTTTGTTACATTTTATTAGAAAATAGAACAAAAATTTATCCACTTTTATGTTTTTCCTATCCTCAATCTCTTTCTACTACTTTATTCATTTTATTGTCTTAGACGTAGCCGTTGTTGCTATTGCTTTATTCTCGTTTCCAAGTTAAGTGGAAAAACAAATCCAAATAATGACAATGGTTATCGTATTTGCGATGGACATGGAAAGACAAATAGCCTAAGTCTTATAACTATCCAATTAGACTAACTGAACGTGTAATACGTCATAGCTATTGTTACCTCAGAAACGATGGCCCCGATTATTCGATTGAATATACTTCCATTTTCCCTGACTATACAATTTTAGTATATATTATATATACTGGGTGTCTCCTAACTCATCTAAAAATATTAAATATTTTTTCAGCAAATTTGTTCTGTCTGTTTGTGTATGCGTTTCAATTGATTTATTATTAAATGAAAAATTCTTTCTTCCTTTTAGTTATTTTTGTGTTTGTTTTATTAATATAAAATTTACTATACGCAATGTGTTTAGTGAACCGCGTCCAATGAAATTTTTTTTTAATCGATAACAAATTGTAACGTTTCGATTAAATGTTTTCTCATCAATGAATTGTAATACTATTTCATTGATTGTGGGTACGCGAATTGTTCGTTTAATTAATAATTCGTTTTGTGTATATAAAATACTTCAATTAAATTTTCACGTTTATTTATTCATTTGTTACAATTACCATTGATTGTAAAACTTGATCGTTAATTAATAACGCGAATGCAATTACGTTATTTTACCTTTTTTTCTTTTATATCAAATTAATTGAAAAAATACGTGCTTGTCATATGAAATAACAAATCTAACTATTGATTCAACAAACATTTAGAAAAATCATATTAACACAAGTACCAATCCTAAATACTCTTCTAACATTTTATCTGTGATTTCAATAAGTATAATAATTAAAAATGATTTGACGTTAGATAAAGAATGATTTTACATATTTCATTGTCTCGATGAAAATTAGGAACGAAAAAAAAAAAGAGAAATCAAACGACGGGATAAACCGTGCACCCTTTTGTTATTCCACGAACAAGAAGAGGAAGAAGAACAAGAAGAAGAAGAAGAAGAAGATGAAGAAGAAGATGATAGAGTACTGACAATGAGATAGAAAGAAATGAAAAAGAAAAAGAAATAAAGAGAAAGAGAAAGAAAGAAAGAAAGAAAGAAAGAAAGAGAGAAGAGGGTTTCTGTGAAAAAAAGGAGGCCATGAAAAATTAAGATTTTCATTAGGTCGTGCAAACCCCCGGAAGAAAATTTTTCAAAGAGTACGACGACACAGAAGAAAAACGAAGGAAGGAATGGAACAATCATTGACAGTAAAAGATTCTTCTATTTTTAAAAGATACTTTTCTTTCATCTTTGTCATCTTCTATCTCATTAAAAATCGATTTACGAGACCGATAAACGATCATTCATTTTCATTTCTATTTCTATCTACAAATGAAACGTTTAAGAATGTTTTTTTTCTTCTTCTTCTTCTTCTTCTCTTTCATTCCGTCTCTGGTTTTCTTTTAATAATATTTTATTAAATTTTATCTTATAATATAATTTATAATCTATTCTCGATTTTATATATAACTCTATAATATATATATATTAAATCTATTTTTTACTTTCGAATTTTTTCACGTTAAACGATTATGCGAACAATAAACGAGGATATATATTAAAATATATACTTGAAGTTTTTTTTCTTTCAAATATATCTTTTAAACTATCGAATCGCGTGTGTTACTATAATCGAACACTAAAAGAAGAAATAATTTATATGGGAAACTCATCGACACGAGCACCATCATAAATCAAAAAGAAAAGGGTACGAATGAAATTAATTAGGGTTTTATTGTTTTTCTACCGTGAAAAACTTCTATGAAAATCTTCGTCGACCAATCGTCAGTCTGGGATATATATATATATAAAAAAGAAAATAAATTAACGATTAAGTTAATAGAAAAATGAAAAATGGTGTGAAAGAAATGTAAAAAAAAAAAAGAATGAAATCTTTACATTTTCTTATCTATTTACCAAGTTAATTGGAGTCTCATTAATCTAAGACAAACTGAAATGAGATTCTACGGGAAAATAAAATTTTTTCTTTATTTTTATCATATTCTTTTTTTTTTTTCTTTTTTCAATATTCGAGATCCTCTTTCATTCGTAATTAATTAATCCTTTATATCATCATAATATTTTAATATTGTATATTTATCTTTTTTAGATGCAACATAATATCAATAACAAAATTCTAATTAAAAATAATCAAAAACAAAATTTCTATTGTAAAAGATAGAAAAAAGGAAAAGAAAATCCAATATGTTTTTCTACACGGTGGTAAGAAAAATGTTTAAATTACGTTAACGAGCAAATGAATTGTTTTCGTAAAATTTTACAATTTTATCCCAATTTTTGGAAAATATTAAAATCGAAATACCTTCGTACTTGTGGCAGGATAAGTTGGGATGTTCCTTTGCAAGCTTCGACGCAAGTTCTTCGCAATTTTCTTATTTTTTCTCTTAATTCTGGACAATCACGTGGTTGACCGACGTTTATCAAAAGATCTCGAAATTGCGCTACTTGACTGTTTATATCCTGAATTTGCTGAAATTAAAAAACAAACGGTACAAAAATTCATACGAACACAATTGATTGATACTCGATCACGAAAAAAATGATCTCTTAAGATTATAATAAAACATAAACGTACGATTTACGATTCATTTCTTTGATTTTATACGATATATTTCATAAAAACGTAATAATTTAATTATTAAAAGGTAAGATATAAAATAAAAATACATTTTGTATCTGAAATTTCAAATCGATATATTACGTTTAATAATTTCGTGAACACTTTCTGTATCTCTTTCTTTTCGAATAAAAATTTGACTTAACGATCATCACGAATCATAAATCAAACGTTACAAACAAATTAGGTGAAGTGGGAGGGAGTTGGGAGTAGAATTATTGAAGTAAAAAAAAAAAAAAAAAAAAAATAGAAAAAGAGGAAAATAACGTAGGGCAAGAAAAGGGAAAGGTAGAGAGAGAGAGAGAGAGAGAGAGAGAGGAAATTTGAAAATCGATTTACCAGAAAAACTGCCTTCTCAGATTTATCGGATTTATCGTCGTGGCATTTGCTCGTCGATGCTGTTGGAGACTCCGTCATTATCTGATCTTCTTACGGACTAGTTCTTCTCCGATCGTCGTAAGACTTAACAAGCTTTATCCACGTCATCTCCGTAAAAAGGAAAACATAAAATATCCTCTCGCAAAAAAATGATACACAAATAGAAACGAACGATTGAACGAATAGAAACGATTTAACTAAGATGATCAAAATTCAACGTTAAATCAAACGTCTTTCACAATATTTATTTCGAATATTTTCATCGATCACTATGATGCAACTATATTTTTTCATTTCTCCATGTTTAATTATTTCTTTTCATTTTATTTTCTTTTTTATCGAAATAACAACAACAACAACAACAACAACAATAATAATAACAACGTCAACACCAACAATAACAACAACAACAGCAATTATTAATCGTCAAGAAAGGAATTAAACTTTTCGTTCCATGTTTGTCAAAGGTTTTTTTTTTTAATCGAACATAGAAAAATAGAAAAAGAATGATAGATAATAATAAAGATATGAAATATGAAATTAATCAAAGAAAAATTGTTCGTAGATTATTCGTGTACATAATATTGAACGTTCAAACAAAAATCAACGAAAGAAATTATAATTATAATGAATAATAAAATAGAAAAAAGAAAAGACTGTATATCGACGCTTTGACAATGTGTGTGTGTGTATTAGGGTTGTTTTAGGCACGATTAGAAAATAGATTTAGTCCGTCGCTACGTTCTCCAATGATTAGAATTTCTTCGCGAACGTGAACATGATAAAAATGACGAACCGAAAAAGGCCGTTGACAAATCCATTTGAAATTATTTTATTACATACATATGTTTCTCTAACGTAAATTATTTTTTTTTCTTTTTACGTTCACTAATTCTCGTTGTTGTTTTTATCATAGGAAAAAAAAAAAAGAAAAAAAACGAAAAGTAATTTTTCACGATTTATCTCTCGTCTCACTTTTTTCTCTTTCCTTTTTTCTTTCTTTCTTCTTTCCTTATCCCTCATCGTCGGTATTTCGATAATAAACGCATTGATATCATCGATATCTTTTTATTATCGATATCAAAAATCATTTCCAACGATACTCGCATATTTATCAACGTTAATTATTTTTTTTTTTTTTTTATATCTTCTCTTCCTTAAATTTTCATATATTCGTTTGATAAAATATTTTAACGAAACATTCAAAATCCTACGTGTCTCTTATTATTATTATTTTGAATTATTTTTCTCGTTTTTTCTTCTTCTATTCTTCTTCTTCTTCTCCTTCTTCTTCTTCTTTCTCAATTTCTATTTATTAATCAAAATAATAAATGAAATCTCACGTGATCGATATATTTATACTTCAAACAACGAAACACGATATTTTACAATTCCATTTTCGTTAATTCATAGGTTCGTGCAACATATTATTATTATTATTATTATTATGTCGGATTCTATATTTTTCTTTTGTTGTTCTTTTAAAACATTTGTCGTTGATTTGATGATGATACGCGCGAAGTGATCGCAGTCGAAGGAACACGCGACAAACTGAAGCGTGGCTTTTCACCCTCGAGCTTTTTACCCTTGCGCATCCTCTTTACCACCCCACCCCACTCCTCCCCACCCCCTCTGCCCTCTGCGCAAACCACTTTAACAGCGCATGTCTGACTCTAACCCGATATATACTACTGTCGCGCCGCGATTTCCACGACTCCCCACCACCCCTCTCTTGTACACTCTTTTACTTTCTCGTTTACGCTATGATCGAGTTTATATTATAAAAATAGTAGCATCGTTCCATCACCAATGGTACCTTCCTTCATCCCTCTACCCTATCCTATGTCTATCTATGATACAAAATTTTCAATTACATATCAAATTTTAATCACATATTACGATGAATACAAAATAACAATAATTTTATTCATCAATTATCAATTTATTTGTTGTTGTTTAATTTATATACTTGAATTTCCATATGTATATATATATATATGATTATAGTTAATTAAATAAGATTATTATGATGAATACAAAATGACAATAATTTTATTCATCAATTATCAATTTATTTGTTATTGTTTAATTTATATACTTGAATTTCCATATGTATATATATATATATATAT